TTTATTTGTTTATTTATACAAATTATTATAAAATGATATACATACAAAAGGTAATATATTTGTCTTAATTAAAAATATCATACAATATCGTACAATAATCTTTATCAATCTATGAGTTTTATTGGCTATACAGAATACTATCCAGAACAGTTTAAAACTTATCAAAAATAGCTTATTAAGATAATTTGTTTATTATTTTTACACAGTAGTAAACAAATAAATAGTAGATTTGTATAATAGTTGTATTCTACTACTATACAAAACATAATATTTACATTATAAGAAAAGTAGATGAATAAATTTCAAAATGAATTTGCAAAACAGAATTGTATATGATACATGGTTTGATGGGTTTAAAATTTAAATAGTTCTTGTATTATTATGACTGTGTAATTTTTTCAATACAGCATAATGATATAATTCTAACAAATAAATGGATATTATCTTGCATTTATATTGTTATTTGTATAGGAAACTGGGGCAAAAAAACGATGTTTGGCTCATGAGCCTTTTATAGCAGTGGAAAGATCATTTAAAAAATTGACCACAGATATGTTTTGCTGGGGAAGCACTATATATGGGGAATTGGGCTTGGGAGGTATAGAAGATGAAAACATTTTAACACCTCGAGAAGTTGACTTTGTAAAAGCTGCAGAAATTGAACAAAGTAAGAGCTTAATCAAGAACTAAGATATATTTAAATGTATTTACAAACATCACACATTTTAATATAATTTTCATGTAGTTGCATGTGGTGAGAATTTTACAGTAGTGATTACCCAAGATGGACGAATATATTCATGTGGTAATAATGATTATGGTCAACTTGGTCATAGGAAGGGAATGAGAAGATTACGTAAGTACTAGAAAATAAATAATATAATAATAAATAATAATTTTATACATCATCGCAAAAATTGTTCTATGTTTAGAATTGATCGATGCCCCTGGTTTAGAGGCATTAGTATTTAAGAAGGTAACTTGTGGAGCACATCATGCTCTAGCAGTAAATGAATGGGGCCAGTTATTCAGTTGGGGCTTTAATGCAGATGGTCAATTAGGTATTAACAAAGTTATTGAATATTTCTTTAGAAAGTTTCTAAATAGCTATAACACAGCATTTACTGTAATTTAAATTCAGGTTTGAATTCTAAAACTGTTATGGAATGTATACCACGTATGGTAAAAGCTCTGAGTTTAAGTGTAATTGTGCAAGTAGCTTGTGGTATGAAACACACACTTGCATTGACAAATAATGGCGAATTATACAGTTGGGGTTCTAATAATGAAGGTCAACTTGGATTAGATTCTAATGTTAAGAATGAAATAAAACCTCAACTTATTAATGGTTTAGATGGCATTCCTATTGCTCATATTGCTTGTGGAGGATATCACAGTATAGCTATATCTAAATCAGGTAATACATATAATGAATGCAAATGGAGATAATTGTGTGTACTTACTAGATGTGTATAAATCTTTTTGTAGGTGCTGTATTTGGATGGGGTAAAAATACATTTGGTCAATTGGGTTTAAATGACACGCAAGGTAGGAATGTTCCTTGTCAGTTAGAAACATTACGAAATACAAAGGTGTGTTATGCAGCTTGCGGTGAAGAGTTTTCTATATTTTTAACAATTGTAAGTACTTCAGTTATTATTATTAAATTGTATAAATACCGTAAATAAGACATATTTAAGAACACGAAAAATGTAAAAGATAATCCTAAGATATTCTATGCATAAATGTATTTCAGGATGGGGGAGTATTCACTTGTGGTGCAGGAATGTATGGTCAGTTGGGACATGGTAACAATTCGAATGAAATTTTACCACGTCAAGTTATGGAGCTTATGGGTAGCGTAGTTACACAGGTATTGATAATATCGAAGAGAAAAGGTTCAAATATTTTATATGTATCATTCACACTAGATATTTCATTTAAAGGTTTCATGTGGAAAACGGCATACATTGGCATTAGTACCATCACAAGGTAGAGTTTATGTATGGGGATTAGGAGGAGCAGGACAATTAGGTAATCGTGTCGCACGTAGTGCAACTACACCACAAGTGTTAGAGGGGCCATGGTCTGCTCCAAATGGTTCCATGAGAATGGATCTAGACAAAGAAATAAATTCCTATAAAATTGATTGCATTGTTAAACATATTTCTACTGGCGGCGATCATTGTTTTGCAATAGTTGTTTCACAAAAGGTTAGTGTACGATTTTATGGAGTTTTAATAGGATGTCAATTCTTGACATAATAATTCTTAAAAAGTTTATACTAATGTGTGAAATTAAAGTATTAGTAATACTGTAATTTATATGCTATATATTGAAACTTATGCAGGATAATGTACAGCCGGATGATTGTAGAAAATTAGAATCATCTTACAAAATTCTTGAAATAACTGAAGATCAATTGTTAGCATGTCAACGAATTCCACCGAGCTCATCTGTTGATCATGAACTTATGACGTGAGTAGAAAAGTTAGTACCTAAGATTGCTTGAAGCATCTGGAGTACTATTAGTTTCTTAGAATTATTTGAATAACGACCAGAAGTGATGAAAAAATTATAGGTATTTGGAAACCGTATTCAAAAGTCAAGCCTGTGTGAATGGATCGTTTTTGTTTAACAATGATAGTCACTACGCGTGTTCTATTAATCAACATGGACTTAATCTTAACGAAGCAAGTAGATCATTTGGGATCATTAGAGAATTGGATAACACCACGATTCAAGAACTGGTATATTAGAAACTCAGTTTTACGAGACTTATGTACTTATAAAATCTAATTTACAACAGATTATTTATTCTCTCTTCAGATATTTACTTGCATATCAGACAGCTTGATTCCTTCCTTTGTTAGTTCATCATCCAAACTACATTGTCCGGAGTCTTTAAGAATCTACTTAATATTACCTTTGTATCATGGTTTTGTAAATCCCCTTAATTGTAATTTATTGCATAAATCATTCTGCAAAGCTGTTTTAGCGTTAAAGCCAGAGATTCTTACAATAATAAGTCTGTGGTGGACCAAAGCGCCGTCATATTATTTTGAGAGATTGGTCAGAATACATAAATCCGTTGTCTTACATTATGTGAAACAGTCTACTCCAAATAAGGTAATTTACTTTGCTAGTTTCAAAATATGCATCACGATTTATGCATTTCTGTGATGTTATATTACTTCTATTTGTTTATAGGGTGTATTGTGGGACTCCACGTTTCAACTTATATTAGATTTGTTAGGTTTATTAAATTATTTAAACAATCAGGGTGAAGATGGTAACATAGTGCCTTATTCTACATTTCATTTGCCAGAATTAATAGATTTTATAGACATTAAAAGCGACTACATAAAATGGATTTCAGAAGAGCAATCTTCTGTATGTTATACCCACAGTATAATTTAAATTTTATCCATTTACAACTAACAATATCATGAAAATTGATAGAATTTTTCTTAATCTCAGAAGGTGTTTTGTCACTATCCTTTTCTCCTTGATGCTCAAGCCAAGACTATATTACTTGAAACAGACCAGGCTATTCAGGTATAGTCTGTATTAACTTCCTTTTCAACTTTTTTCAATAATTTAAGTGGTTATTCTTTATATTAGATGGAGTCGGCAATAACGGAAGCTACTACACGAGCAGCAATGAATAGATTTTTCAACCCATTTGCTGTAGATGCAATTGCTCATATGCAATATGTGATATTAAATGTTTCACGTGAAAAAATAGTTGGGGACACTTTGACCGAATTGTCTCAATATGACTCCAATGACCTAAAGAAACCTCTTCGCGTGAGTATTATGATCGTTAGATAGTATATCTTTCTGTAAAATGTAAGTTCCTTGGCATAATTTATTAGAAGTAGAGGTAAATAGGAATATATTAGATTTAATTTTAAGTAAATTATCATCTTAAGTAATAGGTTATAATATTTATATATTATTGAAGTTACAGTATTATTAGATTGAATACAATCGTAATATTGACAGGTGAAATTTCATGGTGAGGAAGCAGAGGACCAAGGTGGTGTTAGGAAAGAATTTTTTATGCTTTTGTTGAAAGAAATTTTAGATCCTAAATATGGCATGTTCAAGCAATACGATGAAACCAGAGTGATTTGGTTCAGTGAAGATTCATTTGAGGATGAAAACATGTACTTTTTAATTGGTATTCTTTGTGGACTGGTTATTTACAATTTCATTATTATTGATCTGCCGTTTCCGCTAGCCTTGTATAAAAAATTATTGCACGAACCAGTTGCATTAATCGATATAAAAGAAATGTCTCCGACCCTCTATCGGTACGATATAGCTATAGATAAAAATTTGTTTTCTTAAAATCAATTATTACAATGTGTAATAAAATCATAAATTTTATTTTAGGAGCATGCAAAGTATTCTAGATTATGACAAGTTAGATTTTGAAGAAGTTTTTTGCTTGAACTTTGAAGTGGTTAGAGAGGCGTTTGGTGAAAAAAAGATATATGAACTTATACCAGACGGTAGTAAAGTTCCTGTTACATTTAAAAATAAGTATGTTCATATTTTTTTACGTATTTTATTTCGTCTTTCCTGATTTCAATTTTGATAATATTATTGTTTTTGCGTAGAAATCAGTTCGTTGAGTTATATGTGGATTACATACTAAATAAGTCAGTAGAAGCTCACTTTCGGGCATTTTACAAAGGGTTTCATAAAGTTTGTGGTGGTCGAGTATTAGAAATATTTCATAGTCATGAATTGAAGGCTGTAGTAGTAGGGAATGAAGATTATGATTGGGAAGAACTGGAAAAGAATACTACATATAAAGAAGGCTATAGCAAAAGTGATCCTACAATAGTACTGTTCTGGCAAGTATTTCGTGAATTGCCATTAGAAGAAAAGAAAAAATTTTTACTATTTTTAACTGGAAGTGATAGAATTCCTATACAAGGCATGAAGGCAATCTCGGTAAACAATTCAACTTATACATCAGATAATTTTTTTTATTATATGTTTCAATAATTTTTTAATAAGATAATCATTTATTGCAGATTATAATTCAACCAATTAACGATGAACGTATGTTACCAGTTGCTCATACGTGTTTTAATTTACTTGATCTTCCACGCTACCAGACCAAGGAGAGACTACGATATAAATTACAACAAGCCATACAACAAACCCACGGGTTTTCTTTAGTGTGAAATTTCTATTATATTTTATTTGTAGAACGCGTGCATAATACTGGACATTTACATGATAAATATCAAGTCGATTTATATTATTGACATTTTATTTTCCTAAGTTTTATTGAACTTATTATATTACTTAC